TTGCATTTCATGTCACGTACATGTCGAGTATTAAACTAAAGTCTCATATGCTATAAGGTGATGTTCTTCGAGGTTTTTAATGTTGTCTTAGAATTATTTCTTGTTATCCATACTAGGAAATAAATTTTGTTCTAATGTAAATACCCGCCTTCCTCAATTTACGTCATTATTTTTTGTTATATATACATATGTATATACATATATATTTCTAAAACGTATGCATATTAGCTTTTATTTTCAATATTTTTTCTTTTGTCGTGACAAATTTTACGTAATTTTCATTCGTATAAAACGAATCTACGTGGAACGGATACTCTCGTAAATTGAGGGACGCTTGTACCTACGTTAACCATTAAAAACTATTTTTGTTAATTTTTATAAGTTTAAAGATAACTTGAATACTGTTCTTTAACTTTGCAAACATTAAAAAACAGATTTTTTAAGCAAATTGATTATGGTTTCATTTATTCACCCTTAGGGCATCTATCCGTTCACCCAAAGGCATCTATTTTATTCGTGTGGGATAGATGCTCAAATCGAGATCTTTCATATTTTTGTTCTATTATAACAACTATTGATCTTAGGCAAATAATTGTAGAACATAATGAAAATAAAATACTACGGTATGATATGAACATGAAATTGTTTGGAAACGAAAGCTAATAACGACTTTAGAAGTACACGTTAAAAACGTAGGCGTCTATCCGTACTTTACCCTAATACAATTTGACAAAAACGTACTTGCGAAGGAATAATTGAGCGCACAGAAGTAATAAATGACTGTTGCTAAATACGTATATTGTACAACATTTAGAACAAAATACATGTTAAAAATAAAAAAACATTTCGCGATATTTAGTATCAGAAGAAAACTGAGTAATATTATAGTTCTATCAAATACCGATAATGCTTCTAATCCGAACGGCTTTGATAGCGTTAAATAACCTGAAAATGTCAATAATGAAATTGTTTACCCTGACTCAAAGTATTATCAATAAATGAAACGTTTAACTTGAAAAGTTGAAATTTTTAATCTGAAAGCGTAATGAACGTTTACGTTAAAAATGTCATCTATGTCAATTAATCTGAAAATTCAACCATTCGTTGCGGTACAGAGAAAATGGTATTTATGTTTGTCTTAAATATGGCAGTAATGATTACTAACCTGAAACTCATCTATTTATCTCGATACCGACGGAACACAGAGATGAGTTGGGAGATTACTCACGGGCAAGGTCGCGCGATCGTCTCCTGCCCTGCCCCCCGGTAAAGGATGTGGACGGCTGACGCATTTGCCACCTGATAACGTCCAAGGACGGTCCAATTCAGGGATCCTCCTCATATCTGCTCCCAACTCATCTCTGTGATGACAAACATCGTTTAACATCTTTTAACATCTCTTACCAACAAGTCCAGCAAGATCTGCGGCGATGAACTACTCATGATGACATGAAAAAAAATGGATCCTGTTGTGCATCACCTAAACCTGGAAAGGGACAAGCAAAAGAACAAGCAAAACACCCACAAAAGCAAAGCAAGCGAAACACCCACAAAAGAACAAGCAAAACAGAACATTAAAAGAAATCCAGGAAGTCTGAGATTAGACAGCGAATAAGTTACTAAAAGTCAAGAATATTAATGGTAGATCGATCTTGTTAAATTGACTGAACTGGTATTTTTCATATCGCTAAGTAAGAAAAAATCCATTTAAATGTAGAATTGACAAAATATAATCGAAATGGTCGTTCGCCGTCTCTTCTCCGTCAATCCTGACAAAGTAACATAGAAAAACATAGGAGGAACAACGTGGCCAAAAAATGGATGGCTGACCGTTCGAAAGAACGGAAGGCCATCGTAGCTGCCCTCTTCTTAAGAGGCCGCTTCGGCATATAGCCTCTTCGACTCTTGTAGTCTCTTCGGGCAGAGCCCCCTACGTCCGGAACGCTTGGCAATCTCCTGATTTTGCGTATTAAAAAAAGTCACCCCGCGAGCAAATCTAAAAGCTAGCAAAACGACGACCTACGATCCGAGGATGCGCAGTCCGGGCGTATTGCACATTTATCCGGATTCCCAACCGCGGTCTAATTAATTTCATTCCTAAAAGAAAATTGTCATAATCGCGGGTATGTCACAGGACAGACATCCTCCGCCCTTCCAGAAGGATGAAAGATGGATAAGTACCCCAGATCCAAGATCTTCCCTCAAACCGCGGGAAGAGATCCCGCCCTAGCCTTGCCTGCTTACATCCAGACGTTCACTCCAGACAACTGTCCTAACGCCCTAACTATATTTAAAATAGCAACCACATTCGTTTCAACACACTGGCTCCACGGTTCTCTCGCATTCCATCAGGGGGCAAAGAGCCTAATCCTAGGGAGCGCATTCCAGGATGCCTTCGACCCCCGAGTTCAGTTCTCGCATTCAAACGTCCCATCGATTGTCATCGCCGGTTGAATAAAAAAAAATTAAACGAATACATGGAATCGGAACACGGATGAAAATCGAAGGAATTCACAAAGTTACAATTTACCATGCCTTCTGGCCCTGACCCGATCGACTCGCTCCCGGAGTAGTCGAAGGGCGAGGGCCAGCAAGAAACGCGGCTACAGGAAGAGGCACCTACCGTCGAAGACGCTGAAAACATCCTAAGCTGATTAATTTATACATCGCTAAAACGAGCTATCGACTCTACTCGCCTTTTATAATTCAGAATTTCGTCAAGAGAGAAAGGCCAAGCCCAGTTCGCACTGCGGCCCCGGGGTAGTGGAATGGAAGGCTTGGCCGAAAAATCCTGTAATCTCTGAAGCTGACTCCTCGTCGAGGCGGCTGTTCTAAGGCGACCCGTAAGAATATCGAGATGCCACCTCGACTCGTGTCCGACTCCTCGCAAAACACTTCTCCCGAATATTTTTTGAATTAACGGAAAAAACTCCACGAAACCGGTGGCTCCGAAGTGGAAGGGTCGTCCGACATCCCGGCGTTCGATTAAGAATCGCGAACCGAAATCGACCGCGGACCCGGGAGAAGACTAAACTTAGTCTAAATTGACACATAAGAAATAATGAAAATCCGCGCAGCCACTTGCGAGTCGGCGAAAGGTCGTCCCGTCGACTCGGGAGGATCGCGGCCAGGGGTCGCGCTATATAGGGATGACTCACTTATGGCAGAGATGAGTTGCGCCGCCACTGAGGGGTAACATATGGCAGGTACGTTAGCCGCTCGCACCAACTACCAGGGGGCAGCACAGGACGCGATCGCGCGATCCTGCCCGTGAGCAATCTCCCAACTCATCTCTGCGAAACAATGCTTATGGCCGTTCACTCAGTACGTGGAAATTACAGCGCAGCGCGTCAACGCGTCAAGAATAAAAATCACCTAGAACTACGACGAAAGTGATGCACGAGGTAAAATGCAGTTCTGAAAGGTTTTTCATCCTCGACGCGCTGACGTGTCGCACGCTATGTCACACCCGACGTGCTTAGTGGAACTCCGGCCCCATCATGGCGCCCCTTGCGGCAACTCTATGAAATTTGAGAGCGCACCACGAAAGTACATTCGTGGTTCATCGCCTATGCGTCAAGAAAATCAGATAGCAGAAAAGAATGCGAGAGCTACGAAAGCAATGCAGGTAGAAGACGATGATGAACGCGTTGAGTTAACGAAACTTGACGTTCAGTGTTTTCAGATGAATTTAATTGATAGAGGATAGCGCGAAAAAGATCTGAACAAATTACCGTGTCTACAAAACGGAAAGTATTTTAATTATGCTAAATATGGGTGATGAGTTCTCTTACCTGTTCTAAACCCAGGAGTCATTGAAAAAGCATCGTCGACAAATGCCGAACAGCGCAATAACGCTTGTCTTAATTGAGGGCGAAGAGAGTCAAGCGCCGAAGAGAGATAACGCTCGCCTTTAATTTTTGTTGAAAAATACCAATCAGCGCGATAGCGCTTCTCTTAGTTTATGTTTTTGGTGTTAAGTAGAGAAGGAAGGAAGAACGCGCTATTTCGACAGACTCTGAGTGCACCGTCAGTTGTCCATAGCGTTAAAATTTGGATTTTTTTATATGAAATCTAAACAGCGCGATCGCGCTGCCTAGGACTCAAACGGTTAACTGAGAAATAAATATGTATCAAACTAAAGTACCGAAGTTTGGTGTGAAGTACTCGTTAAGTACTCGATGTCGTTCGCATATGCTTCTTATAATGCATTTGATGCGATAAGTAGGACGTTCCAGGTCGAATATGGAACATAAAATGTAAAATAGGACCAAGAAGGGCTTACTTAAGTTACACAGGTTTAAAATACGGCTACAATTTCTAGTCGAGGCTCGAGTCGAGATTTTAGCCCCACTTTGAACCTAAACAAGACCTCTTTTGATCCTAGTTCACTCTATGTGTCTTAGTTTTGACTTTAAACATTCCACTTAATGGTAATTAAATTTTATTTTAGATCTTCATAATTTGCATATCGAAGTTAATTAAGTTTTTGAAGTCCGACTTTGATTCCGTTATGTTAATATTAGAACCCCCCCCAAATTCCTAAATAGTTCTTTTAATGGGATATTCTCCAATATTTCAGAACACAGATCTAAAACTCCTTTACAATCATATTCAATTTTTTCGATGGTTATAAAGGAGTTTTTGATTTCCGTTTTGTCAGTTTAAAGGTTGCATAACATTTGGCTTTAAATTTCTTTATTTATGAAATAGTCTACTTTTTGTAAAATTTAGTAAAGAATACTTCCCTTGGATTTTTGACGTATATAGGATTTTGTTAAGTTTTGTCACGATCTTTAGAATTCTCTGAAAAACATGAAATAATATTTTTTTTAGAACTTCGTCCAACGAGATTGACTTACCTGAATGTGAAGTTATATATTATGGACACAATAATTACGTGAAAATATTAAAATTGAATAGGAATCGAGAGTTATTGGCAGCGAGGTTGATCGAGGCATCACGCGTGTCATTCAACGGCAGAAAGACATTTCCGATGCGCAACTGCTCGCATGCACATTTGACCGTTTATGTGGATGCTTGCATATGGTACTTCTACGGAAGAAATCTGTAGATTTAAGAGATTCAATCTGTGAAATCTTCAGATTTTAATCGGAAGGCCTATCTATGTGTTTAACCTTTTCGAAAACGATAACCTGAAAAAAGTGAATCTGTAATATCAACAGATACTTTTTGTTGTTCCTACAATTTTATAATACTTCAAATATCCCAGTTTTATCGCTGTCAATATTAACAGCCATTTTCAACTGCATTTACAGATGGCTCTTACAGAAATGTTTCTGCTATCTGTACATGTTTGAAAGTAAAGTTAGCTGAATTAATTGTTTAATGGAACAGCTTTTAACCGCATTGAGAACAAACGTTTCCAACAGATAGACATCTGTAACTTTTAAGTTCTTATTTTTCTCCGCGTACAATCCATTTAAGACTTACACCTAGAAGTTCTGAAAAGAATCAAAATTTCGATTCGGGAATCCGGATGATGACGTTAATGTATGGTATCGTTCATGTCGCAGGTACTGCTTCAAGCGGCACTGGTTTGGAGACAAGGAAATTCCGCTCCCGCGAAAAGGAACGACATCCTAGCAGGAACGGAGTTCCTGTCGGTCTTCATAAACGGAGCGATGGCGCCGACGCCGCCGAGACGTCGAGGCCTGAGACGTGGGCATCATACATCGGATAACGTCCCCGCGGAATCTCAACACGAGGCGTCCATCTACAGAATTTCGAGGACCTCGAACGTGAAACCCGCAATAACGCATGGGGCGTCGCGAGAGGACGGGTCCAAGTTCTACCCCGTTAGCCAGATCGGGACCAGCCAGAAGTCCGACAGCAGGAGTGTCCCAACTTCGCAGACGGAAGAAACCGCGAGTAGAGTCAGCACCAAGCCCAGCTCTCAACCGGAGGTAGCCCTGACTGTCCGAGATCAGGCTGGGGAGGCGAACCGCGGCAAACTCAATAAAAGTGTCAATCAGAAAGTTATCGGGGTCAGTGTAACGTCTACCGTGGAGGCCACGCCGTATAAAGTCAGAGTGGAGCACTACGATGCAGAGGGCAAGGCAACGGGGACTAGACCATCGACTACGACGACCACCAGCACGACGACTAGGTCCACGTTGACGACTACCGTCAAGGACGTTGCTTCTAGTTCCACCCTGACCATAACGCCCCTTCCAGCGTTGTTGGTCACAGAGGAGCTTAGCAACATCGTGTCCGAGTCCAACAGGAGCGAGTTCTCCGTGGACGAGGAATCGCCGAACACCAGCTGGCGCGGGAGGGTAACGCCCAGGCCCATTCCGAATCGCTCTTTGGCATCCTCTGCCCTGAGTCGATGGGGCTCCAGGAGAGAGGAGGTCGAGGATTCGGCAGCCAGCAGCAGCAGCTCGGAGCCCGTCGAGGAGAGCTACGAGGTCTCTGAAGAGCACTCCGAGCCCCGGGAGACTCACGAGGAGCCTGTCGAGATGGACCATCCTCCGCAAGGTCGGAAAGCTGGTAGACACTACGATGCCTCTCTGTACAATCAGCCTTCCAAGGCTTACAGTCAACCGGTCAAAATGTACAGCAAGCCAGCCCGGATCTATGGCGAGCCTGCCAAGGTGTACAGCGAACCGGCTAAAGTGTATGCGGAACCTGAAAAGGTCTATGGAGAACCTGCAAAGGTATACTCCGAGCCCGCCAAGGTGTACGGTGAACCGGCTAAGGTCTACTCCGAACCCGCCAAGATCTATAGCGAACCAGCAAAAGTATATGGAGAGCCCGAGAAGGTGTACTCCGAACCGTCTAGGATCTACTCCGAGCCTGCCAAGATCTACTCCGAGCCGGCCAAGGTTTACTCCGAGCCTGCCAAGATCTACAGCGAACCCAGCAAAGTCTATGGTGATGACGGTCGACCACTGGACCAGCGGGAACCCGAGGAGCAGAACTACGAAGTTGACGAAGCCGTCAGTGTTGGGAGTAATGGCAACGTTCATGGGCCACAAACGGTCACGGAGTCCTCCACCGACGCGGAGGATGGTCATAAAGTCAGCTACGTGGTGGAGGGCCGGAACTATAGGAAGTACCGGGTGGAAGAAAGGACTCCCGATGGCTTTATCGTCGGCGAGTACGGCGTGGTCAGCCACGATGATGGTTCTCTTCGAGGTGTGCGGTACACTGCCGATGGCACCATTAATCCTCGCCTGATCTACGATGCTTTGATGAAGTTCCTCGCTCTCTAATACTTCGACTCCAACGGGAATATCGACGATTGAAGCTGCACTCGGAGAAATGGATTGTTGATTTGATAAACGCTGTTTCTGATACGAACATAATGGTTGTGTCGCTTTGGAGCCCTTCGAACGTTTTCTGCCCGTCGTTGGGCGCGCCTGGTGAACAATTCCGATCATCGGCTATCTATTCTAATCCCGGATGAATCGATTATCATATCTATTGAGCAATTCATTCCAAGTTTATCAACGATAAGATCAGTAGTTTGTTATTAGAAAAGTTGTTGAAACCGATTATAAAATGATAGCACTGATAAAATAGGGATTTTTATCTAGAAACGAAAGTCACTCGAGGGACTTCGTTTGCACAACCTTACTCGTCCAGGAAACCGCTGTGATCGAATCGTCCTAAAGCAAAGAGATTCGTACGGTCAAATCGCAGCTCGTACGGAGGAACCTTGCTGATCTATCTAAGTCAAACGAAAACTATCATCGAATCGATGGAACTTCTTCCGAGTGTGATCGCGACGCGCAAGCGAACGAACAATGACTGATCCTCTGCTCTTGCCAACTCAACTGCCTCACTTGTAATTATTAAGGAAGCGATCCTAGACGTTTAAGGTTAACAGCGGAGCGTTCGGCCCGACGATCGAGCTTGATCTTCGCTGACATGAAAAAATCGCTCCGCTAGTTTCTTGAGGACTTCCGGCAGCGTCGCGAGAACCGGAAGTCATCAAGGTCCACGGTTCGATCCGGAGTATCGGACGAAGAGACCAAAGGTCGATCGTGCAACTTCTTCGGCAAATATCGAGCACTACCATTTAAGACTACTTCTAGTTCTAGTTAACAGTCGGAATTGAGAAAGGTGCAATGGTTCGTAAGCCGAGTTGCCCGATCGACGCCCAGGGATCCAACGATGATCCAGGGAACGCGAAAGCGGTCCTCTTCCTCGGGTACTTCCTGCAGTAATGCTTCTGCGATGAAGAGGTGCACCAAGAAGTCGCATCGGCCTGAGTCTTCGCGATGTCTCTCTCGAATCGCGATTCTGGATGCAATGCAGGTTTCCTTCGCTTTGGGCTAAATCGTAGACCTGAAGAATTAGGGGGAAATCGTGAAAAAATTCGCTAGTGGTACCGTAAGGGTACATTCGGTTTTCCAATTCTTGGGCCGTTCCGTAAGCTCGCGGACAAACGTTTAACAACGAATTTTCTTAAGAGATCCTTTAGGGACAACTATCGAGAAAATATGATATTATAAAGTTCGCGAACTTAGGGAACGATCCAATACTTTTGCTATCGAGTATAAATGTTCTTACAACTTTTGCACCTTAATGAGAGTGGCTTTCATGGACTGGGGGACTATCGAGGTCTCCCCGATGCTTGCATCTTCGTTGCGGGTGCAGGGTCCAGAATCGAATTGCGGAGTGCTTTGTGACTAGGTGCAGAACCGAATGTACCCATTAGTGCTCGGCTACCTTCGGCTTGGATTTCGCGTTGCGCAAGCGGTGAAATTTGCATCTCAGATCTGTCGACGTGATCGACGAAACTCCGCCGTTGCGATCGACGAGGCCGACTTGTCACGGAAGCATTTTTGCGTCGTCCTAGGTTACTAAGTTCGTAGATAGATTTCGAAAGACGCTCGTCTTCATGAAAGTATCTCAATCAACGAGAACCTCTCCTACGCGAGAGATGGTGCAGTGGCATCCAATAAATATTACAATTAATATTGTTATTATTGTTAATAATAATCTATACGTGCGTATATTATGCCGTATGCTCGGTAGCTCGTTACGTCTTCATTACCTCAATCTATCAACACAGTTCCTGCGCGCGGTTTGTCAATGCCGCTCGTGGCGGAATCTGCCGGATCCATTTCCGCTTTTCGAAATCAAGACACTCCCCGTTCCATGATAAATATTATTTCCAAGACAATGGTCTCGTATGTTATTAAAAAGATTCCATCGTAGAGTTATCTAACGACCATTTCTAATCGTTCATTTTACGCACGTTAGTTTGCATTTTATTTCGCACCTACGCGAGGATGCTGTGATAGCGGACTAAATGCTAAGCAGGGTTATTAATCTTATAGATAATTTGTTGTTTTAGAAATGACAACGTATGAAACACGATTTGCAAGAAATCTGGCACGTTATTAATTCGAAGAAGCGAAATGTTCTTGAGTCTTGATTGTATTTTCTTGGAACGTTTTATATCATGGAGTGAACATTCCAGATATCCGCCGCACGCGGAATAGTTTGAAATAACTGATCGAAATGACTATTCAAGAAGCGCCGTTACGAAATATCTAAATGAAATGTTATGAAACGTGCGGCGATTTCAATGTTGTGCTTTGAGACATTCTCGAAATTTTCCACTTTTAATTGCAATGTGTTTCAGTTTTCTATAGCACCGGACATATACACAATTGTTCTCAATAAATAATTCAGAACGGCACTTTGAAAATATTATTTCGTGCAGTTATTCCAAACGAACGTATGTCGCTTTGTCCGTTAACATGGCGACGTGAGTTTCGGGACTTTCCGGGGATGTAATCCCATTAAAAACGCAGTATCATGAATAATTGTCACGTTGTAAATAACTCTTACAACGTATACTTCGAAGTGGATTACGGCAGGAAGCTTTTCTCGACCGACGCTCACATTTTTTTCCGCACAAACTCGATGCGCGAACCTCCATAATCTCCAATATAAGCCAATAGCATAATCCACGTATGTTACACGGCGTAGCGTTAAGGATCTTTAATGTATAAGACAAGAAGTGTAGGTAATATTTACTGTTAGCTCTATAAGCCATATAGCGCTGTGCTGATACCGCCATTCTTCGGAATCAATTTTATAATAAATCCATTGTCGTATACTTTCTCTCTTTGAATGAATTACTCGACGACCCCATCTCGAGCATTGCTGGATCCTCCAGGGGCCAAAATACGCGATCCAGCCTCTGGGAATGACGTCTTCATAGATCCCAAGACCATAGCGATCGGTCCACGGGAGGTACCACCCGCCTTCCTATCGACGATATCGGTCGATTCATACGACAGGGAACCAGGGTTTCGAGAACCGATCGGTATAAATCGCGGATCAATCCGGAGGGAGGATTCGGGTCGTTGGTGATATCGGGCCGGGGCTTTCGATCGGGCAATAGGCGTGACGGGAATTAAGCGATCGGGCCATCGAAGCGAGCAACATCGAACCGTTTGATGGACGAACTCCCGATCGGCATGTGGACATTTGGCATTAAACTTATCGAGGATAATGCGTACTTGCGGCCCGATCCTGCGATCGCAGGACCTCGAAGAAGGCAGGAAAGCCCCTACGCCCCGAGGTCTGGGCGGCGACTCGGAGGGTCCAGCGTTGATTTAAGCCCCACCGTAGCCCTCGCCCATTTTCGAAACCCGCCATTTTCGACTCCGGGAGTCCCGAGAGTTAAAAGGAACACGCCCGGCATGTGCGCGGATCGACCGCAATTAATTGAACCGGTTAACGATAAAAAAGCCGCAGCAGCCGGGATCGATCGGAGGGCCTCGGCACGGTTACCCGGCTACTTGTCCTGGATCGAACAAAAGCGCAAAGCGAGTCACCTTCGTGACCACCGGTTTGGACTTTCGACGCGAAGTCCTCTGGGCAATTTTCTGCCCTTCCTCCGTATCTCTGGCCATCTCTTTATTCGCGGTCGTGGAGAAGAAAAGCCGCGCGGTCGGCCGCCATTAATGGCGTCTTAAATTTCCCGAGGTAATGGGTCCACCTCCTGCCCTACAGGGGACTTATTCCTCGGACGAACGTGCCAATAGCATTAACGCGACCGACCGTAATGGCCCTCTAAAGCAGTCACCCGTAGAATTTATTCATCGCCGGCGCTTTGTGGGGAAGACGCTCCGACAAATTGGGCCCGTTTATGCTGGGTCGCGATGTACAGTTGCTGAAGAATTTAAGGTAAAGTGAAACACGTCGAGGAACTTGATCAACGTCGATAAAGAAGATTTTTCTAAATGCCTACGTTGCCGACGTTCGTTTTTATATTGACAGCTGGGTCGAATTATATTGTGTATTGTACCAAATGGCATATTCCACCTGTCGTTTTCGTACAATATTTATAAAGAAATCGAAGTAAAACTCCAGAAATCCTCTGGATTCATGCCTTCTGGGGCCCTAACTGACTGCGGAGGGACCCCCTGCGCCATCTGCAATTTCCAGGTCAATTAAATTTTCACTCCGAGACCTCGTATTACCATCGTTTTAGCAAAGAAGCGCATACAACACTTTTTTTGCCTTTATCCCGTTCAAATGCGAGTTTATCGACTACCAGAGTGTTCTAAATTGTCGTAAAATTGTCCTGACCCTTTAGTTTCTCATATCAGAGCCTTCGATAATTGTATATTGATCGAAATATGAGAGCTCGACGCCATTTTGGTTCTGGTCTGGACTGAGTTAAACATTTTTTTTGAAAAATCTAAATTTTGAATGTGTCAGGACAATTCTTAGATGATCAGGAATGATGTGTTAAAGTTTAGAACAGTTTGGTCTAATGCCCTTAAATAAATGTGTTGTATTCGAATCGACTGATTTGAAGGATGTTTCACTTCAGCTTAAATGCAGGGGGCGAGGAGGAAGGAAAAACTGAGGTGGTCTCTGGAGCGGGGAGTGTCGCATTGTCCGATGCCGTGGATCGTTGATGTTAGGCTGGGGAGAAAAATCGGCTCGAACAGGGATACAAAACGCTCCACAGTTTCCTGATTCTTACCCTGTTGAACATATTCATGAAATTAATACGCTTTGCGTACACGTGTAGTCAAGTGGTAGTAAAATTATAAATTTGACGTCTTATAGCGAATAGATTTTAAGATGAATATACCAGCTCCGAATGAAACTTCCAATAAAAGTGTTATGAAATTAAAATATTTTGATTAACAATGTGGTTTTGATGACACGTCACGAGGCACTCTGTGATTATTCAATATTTTGAATAATTGCAATTCGACGAAGTCCCAAGAATCCACCAGACAGAAATTTGAATTTTAGAAATTTCTCTTTTGGATCCGATGAAAATAATACAATGTAAGATTATCTGCCAAGTA